CTGGAGTGCCATGGTGCGATCATGGCTCACTGTGGCCTCCCCAGGCTTAAGATATCCTCCCACTTCAGCCTCCTGAGTAGCTGGTATTATAGGTGCATGTCACCATACCTGGCTAATTTTTTTTTTTTTTTTTTTTTTTTTTTTAGAGACACAGTCTCATTATGTTGCCCAGGCTGGTCTCGAATTCCTGGGCTCAAGTCATCTGCCCACCTAGGCCTTTCAAAGTGCTAGGAATACATGCACACACAACAACCATGCCTAGGTAATTTTTGTACAAAATATTACTTTTGATAGAACTTCCAGGTGTCAAAAAGTCTTGTCCTTGAACTGTTGGTGATCATAGTTTGAATCTTTCTCCAACTAAATGTATCTTCAAACTATTGAAATAAACAACAGAAATATACTGATAAGTCTTACCTTGGGAGAGCAGTGCTCAGGAAAGCTAACTACTGTCCCAATGCTCAGGAAGGCCAAACTCAAAAGCGTCTTGTTACAGCAAAAGAACCAACCAAGCATGGTGGTTTGGGGTAAAATCAATATTTTGTTAATGTTTTGTTTTCAGCCTCAAGTTTTTTCATTTATGAGGGTGATTTCCTTTTGAGGCTGCATCAACAATTTCAGGCTGGTGAGATACCAGAATCAGCCACCTTTTGTTTCTTTAGCAGAAATAGTTCTTGTTAAATTGAGTTGAAAGAGTTATTATATCTGCAAGAACGAGATGCTTCATTTGCCTGTCGTTAAGATCAAGCCTTGCAGATATTTAATTCATATGCTAGCCTTCTGAGGTCAGGATTATTATCCCTATTTAGGGGATCTGGAAACCAAGGCAAAAAGGTTGAGTAATTTATCCTAGGTCACAGGAGGGATCAGTGTCTGAGCTAGGATTACAGTTCAGAAAGCCCCAAATTCCAAGACCTATGATCAGACTGCACTTATTTCAAGCTGAGCTGGCCTACTTAAAATAATTCCTCCTTCCCTTACTCCTGCCCCCGGGGCACTCTGTTGAGTATTTGAACTGCTGTCAGCAAATGTGAAAGAGGTCTGGAGACACAGCCTAGAAAATATATCCGACATTGGCTAGTTACAGTTGGGCTTCATTATAGCTTGACAGAGAGTTTCTCCTCCAAAACTGGTTTTCATATAGGAATTTTCAAAAGGTTTTTTTCAAATGTAGGAATATTAAAGCAATTTATTCAGCCTTCATTAGTCTTTATCTTGTTCATAGGAACATAAACTATTTAGGAGTAGGAAATAATAGCAAAGGAAGCTGCCTAATCATGGTAAATACTACTACAGAAGTTTGCATAACTTTGGGAATATATGCTGGTACCTGGTTTTCCATTCAGAATTTTCTCTAATAAGGGTCTCTGCATTTACCAACTACATTTTTTTGTTTCCAGAGTTTTATGAGACATGTATTTGAAAAGAAGATACAAAGAAAAATATATGCGTATGTATGTGTGTATTTGTATATTAGTAAAAGTAATAAAATTCTTAAGCCAGTGTGGAAGAGAAAGAGATGTTCAGAAGAAATAGTTTTAGAGTACTGGATTTGGAGGCAAAATACCTGGGTTTGCCTGCATGCCTTTTTTTTGCCAGTTTTACGGTCTTAAGCAAATTATTTAATCTCTTTGAAGGTACAAATGGCTCTTGGTCATTAAAGAAAGGGTTCAGTGTGACAGGAAACATAGATAGATCACCAGCCAGGATGCAATGTAATCTGTGCCAAATTAGCGTTATGATCAAAATGCTCAGGGAACGTAGAGGCAGCAACATTTAAGCCTAACCTCGATTTTCACTGCATACAAAACAGAAAACATTTTAACTAGAATGACCAGGACAGACTTGTGGTGTAAGACTACAAGGCTTAAGTGAGAAAGAGTAAGTCCTGGATGACTGGACTACTTGAATAACCAGGCAACTTGAGAAAAGTTACAGGAGATGAAGATGAAAAGGAAGGGGGCAAATCTGGTGACCAGGCTAAGGAGCCTAGACTGTGAGACAAAGGGAGATAGCTATTCATGAATACGGCTATTCATTCATGCCTTCCTTCAAATTTTCATTCATTCATTCATTCAAAGTTATATTATCAGGCACCCTGATGCTTTGTAGCAGAGACACAGATGTTAAAGGCATCTCTAAGTACACACTTAGAGAGAACTCTCAATGTGGGTGACAGAATGCTTTGAAAGATAGACAAGTAAACAGGCAATTACCGAGGTAGTGAGTACCATGATGGATGCACAGGGCACAGAGGCAGAGAGACAGAAGAGCAAGACTAGCCTGGGAGGTCAGCAAAGACTTTCTGCTAAAGAAGGTGTCTCAGGGAAGTCTTAACAGAGAAACAGGAGGAAGCAAAGGAGCAAGAAGGGACATGATTGGGGGCACAGAAAACAACACGCATAGAATCAAGAGACACGGATGTGATACTCCCCCTTTTGATTATTCATAAAGCTTTGTGGAAATGTCATTGACTTTTGCAACTTAATTTACTGTTGTGGAAAACATAATGCATCACAGGCCTAGGAGGCACTGGAAGGGGTGCCAGTACAGAACAGATTCAACTAGAGCAACAAGAAGCAGTGATGACTGTGAGTCACAGAGAGACACCATCAGAATTCACACAGCATGTTATTATGCCCAGGACTCTTCGCTGCTTAGGGTCAACACAGTTGAACACTAATTTGTTAAATTAAGCTCGAATGATGTTTGCCTCATTCAGTTGCTTTACTGGTCAGGAAATAATTTATTATTCTCATCAAATTAATTGTAAATTGAGAAACTAAGAGATAAAGAGTTGAAGGAGGCCGTAAGAGAGCTGATGCTGAAGGGTAGAGGAGACTCTTACAAAGGAAAGGGGATTGGGCTGGCAACCGAAGAGCATGCCTGTTATAACACAGTTTCTCTCTCTCTCCCTCTCTCTCTCTCTCTCTCTCTCTCTCTCCCACACCCCTTCTCCAAGTCACTGAGTCCCAGCCTCTCAGGAGGCTGAAGTGAGAAGATCACTTGAGCCCAAGAGGTCAAGCCTGCAGTGACATATGATCTTGACACTGTACTCCAGCCTGGGTGACAGAGTGAGACCTTGTCTCTAAGAAAAAGAAAATAAATAAATAAATAAATAAACAAACCCAAAGAAGCCTTCAAGTCATATTTTGTACAGTTAATTATGAAATATATATTTGTTTTCAACATTTATTCTTTTTAATATTATCTTCTTCAAAATTCTCTGTTTCTTCTCCAAGTTTTTAAAGGTAATTTTACAATCTCTTCTTTTAGAGTTACAATGGCTTTGAGGAAAGCATATATTATTTACAAAGCAAGTACCTTACAATGGAGAGAAGTTCATAAATCTACAAATCACTGATACGGATAGTAAGAGAACTCATTTTTAAAACCAATAAAGCAATTGAAAGAACTGTTTGTTTATAATCAGATCTTAATTTAACAAATTAAAAGTTCAGTAGTCTCCATTAAGCACCTGATAATTACATATACACCCCCACACATACATCATCCAAAATTTCTTATTGAAAATCCTAAACTATCAAATAGTGATATTTCTATGCCAGATGGTGGTAAAAGTGTAAAATACATCCCAATAAAATTCATATCCACTAACATTTATAAACACTCTATTTTTTCTTCCTTTGCTTTAAAAATGAATATTACATATTTTTGACTATTGTACTTTTTAGAGACCTCTTTAAGATAAGACAAACATAACAAAACATTTAGTTATCTCAATTTTAATAATTTTAAGTGGTTTAAAATGGTTTATGCTTTTCTCCATATGCACACACTTAATTCACACACTTATTACACATTTTCTGTAATAATATATGTCTTGGAGATATATTATATTGGAGAAATAAAATGTGTGATAGGTGATTCACGCCTGTAATCCCAGTACTTTGGGAAGCTGAGGCAGGCAAATCACATGAGGTCAGGAGTTCAAGACCAGCTTTGACGACATGGTGATACCCTGTCTCTAATAAAAATACAAAAATTAGCCCGGTGTGGTGGCAAGTGCCTGCAATCCAGGCTACTCTGGAGGCTGAGGTAGGAGAATCGCTTGAACCTGGGGGGCAGATGTTGAAGTGAGCCAGGATTGCGCCACTGCACTCCAACCTGGACAACAGAGCGAGACTCTTCTCAAAAAAAAAAAGAAAATTGTGGTAGAAAACACTGAAGAATAGTGTGAGGCAATGATGTTTAAGAACATGCTAGCATCATTGAAATCATGACTGTGGGAAGGGAAAGCACTACACACAGGTGTATCACAGAGCCTTCCTGGAAGAAGCTGGATTTAAGGATGGATTTTAATGAAATGTTGCTTTTGGATTGATCAAGAAGAAAGGAAAGAGCATTTGCATATGAGGTTCAGAAATATAAATCAGAACATAAAGTAAAAGGAAATAAAACACTCTAAGAGAATAACAAATAATGAAACATGCTCCAAGTGGAACACACAATGACATCAGATGATTATTTAATATTCACCCAGTAGTTAATTGATGGGCATTTATTGAGTATAATACATGTGCCTAGCTCATTGCTAGTTGCAGTAAGGAAATATAGGAAGGAGACATTTCTGCATTCAAAAGGCTCAGCTTCTTGGGCAAGAGATGAGAATGACACATGAAATTATCTGCCTTACAATGTAAAATAAGTTTGTGTTACATGTTTATTTCTGTGGTACAATCCTATATATAAAATAGCTCAAAATGGAGAAAGGAACAGAGTAAGAACCAATGGCTTCAGGAGGAAAATGCAATGATACAAGCTTTGAAAGACGACTAGAATTCAGATAAGTACCAAAGAGCAGGGAGGCCATTTCCTGAAATTAGCTGACTATGATATTTTGCAGCTGTTATTATGAGAGACTACATATATGGGGGATCCTAATTTAATTCTGTTTGGATAGATGAATTCTTTTTGACAAGTTTATACCAAGTTCATATTTCCCATGGCAATTTTGTTTCTCTTTCATTTTCCTTTAGGTCATAGTGGATGAGGCTACCTGCCTGTCTGACCTTTGAGGAAGGGGAATTTCTGAAACCTTAAGGCTTCTTTGTATTGTTCAATTCAGTGAGAAATAAATCACTAATGATAGTAAGCATTCTGTCATTTTTCTAACACTTATTAATTGTTAAAACTTGTTAAGTAAGAAACTATTTTATGACAGCAGTTGCTCTATTTTTATCATAATTATTATCATCATTACCTTAAAGGTGTGTTTTTTAGTCAGATTTGGTTGTAAAATTTAAAGAATGTCAATAGAATTGAGGAGTATTTTGAACAGAATCTGAAATACAAACATAAACTCAGGCATTCAATTTTAAAAGTGGAACAACTAACTGTTCACAGCATGCTGGAAAACACTTGGTAGAGAAAGTAAGATTGGGGTCACTGGGAGCATAGATGGTTAAAGTGTGGCTTCATCATGACTAAACAAACATTCCATTCCTAAGAAAATCTCGTATCCTTATAAGCAGTTGGTCTTCTAGTAGAAGAGAATTGAAAAACAAAAAACAAAAACCAAAACAACCCCGTGCAGTTGGGAACTCTAAAACATACCGAGTTACCTCTCTGGTTTTGTTTAGCCTAAAGTGAACATATTTCATGATGAAGGCTAGAATTGCTCATGCTAGGCTGAAAGTGATAGAAAGAAATTAGAACTCTCTCTTTCAGCCTCTCAGGAGAGCTGAGTGGTTAGTGCAGTGGGGAAGGCTGGTGATGTGGCCAAGTTTATGAACTGATGATGGTGAAAGCCTGATTCTTTCCTTTCATCACAGATTTGACTGGCCACTAATGCAGGGCAATGACTGGATTTTCTTTCAAATCAGTGACTTGGGAAATGCTATTATCCCTTGGTTTCCCGCCTGTTGACAAACTGCTAAATAATATAGGTGATTGATTGAAGTGTTATATAAACAAACACATCATTGCTTTGATATGATCATTTGCAAAGCAACAAGAAGACTTTCATATCTTATTTAAAGATATATTTAGGAACAGAATTGAAAAAACTATAAGCTTAACGATCAGAAAGGTCAGTAATGAAATTGTCAATCTACTACTTGTAATCTTGGGGAAAGTGATTTTGCCTCTCTTAGCCTCAAATTTCTGGTCTAAAATTGAGGTTAATAAGCTTAATTACATGGGCTTGTTTAGATAATTACATGAGATAACCAATGCAAAATTAATCTATTTTGGTGAATACTCAATAAATATTAGTTATCTTCCCTTACTCACAAACTATAGGTTATCAAAAATTGGGATAGTGAGTAGAAACTGAAGTTACTGCCAGCAAATTCCATTCTGAGACTCCCATGTCATAAAAATGAGAGATGAAAGAGGCTGTGTTTCAGCTACATTTGCCACTTGTTTTTATTAATTACACACATACACCCAAACATTTTTATATTTAATTGAAAGACGAAAAGTTGTAATTATGTGGGAGGAGTTGTACTTTTAGAATCAAGTATGGGTAAAGTTTGTAAGAGCGCAGAAAGATGAGTGTTAAGAATCCTATTTACTAAGTGGCTTCACTTCTTGAGCTTTGGGGAAATGGCTCTTTCATAATTTTAACAGTTTGTGAATTCTCCTTCAAGTCAGGATTGTCAAGGGGAACTGAATATAACCTCTGTCTAATTTCACTCGGTATTTCATTTCTTTTTTTGTTTGCAAGGTATTAATTATTAAATGTGCTTCGTATTGATAATTATACTGCATCTTATTTATTAATGACTCACTATTAAGCTTAAACTTAATATCTCCAGAGGTTCTCAGGTCTCTACCTTTGCAGGTTATTGCTCTTTTTCTCTTTGCCGGACTGAGAGCTGAGAGGGTTTCAAGCTTTGGGGTTTAAGGTAGATAGGTCTTAATGGTGTGATTACCCATGACACAGTTCATTACCACTAATGGAGTTACTCATGCAACCAAAGGGAGAAAAGTGATCCTGCACAATAGTGAACTAATAGGCAATAAATTATTACACCTGAGAAAAGCAATCATATGTAAGAGCAGTAAATGGCCAGTGCCCAAAAGAAAGGTACATATTTTTATTTTGCCTGAAGTGTGTGTCTCTTTTTCAGAAGGACAAATTTCATTTTGGAAGCAAAAAGAAAAAAAAAGTTCCACTTCTTTTGATCAGTGTAGACATGACAAGAGACACAAAATAATCAAGGCAAAAATTGAATTTACTCTTTATAATACTGCTTTGTATAACCCATTTCTATGTTTGGGCTTCTCTCAAATTGAGAATTATATCTGAATCTTTACATTCAAGTTTTCAGGAACGTAGACTGCAAATTTATATTATGAGGTGATAAAAGTTCACTGGTTTGTTCCATAAAGGGAAAAACATAATCTAACTAGCAAACATTCTTCATACGTTTTTTGATGTTTAATTACAACAGCAAAATCCCTTAAACCTAAGGCCTACAATGTTCCTATGGCACTTTGGAGACCAGAGCCTTTGGTGCCTTGGTCTCCACAGTCAGGAATCAGTCCCTGAGATGACTCAATCACATTCCACTGAGCAGATAAGCTTTTCTGCCCCTGCACCCTAAAGGCATCTCTGGCAATTGTTTTCCTGTGGTTTACTGCTCCCATAGCTGGCCTATTTTGTAGACTACTCCCAATATCTCCAAAGTAACCCCTTCTGATTTTCACCTCCAGTAACAGAGATTCTTAATGAGCCTTTTCTCATGCACAAGAAAGCTTCCCTGACGTTCTAATGTTAAGCTGAGATTTTGAAGCTCCCATCCATCCTGACATTAGAAAAACCAAAATCTTTCATCCAGGTAATTATACTCTACAGTCTCTCTCTTATGCTTAGCCAGTAAAGCCATCCTCACTCATCCAAGGTGAAACACTGTCCTCCATGGTGGTTCCAGTTTGAATATCTTGGGGTCCATTTTGACTCATTTTTTTGTTAGGAGAGTAGTAAATGTGCTTGGTCAGAAATGGGAGCATGTCCTCTTTGCATGTTTGTTTAAGAGGCTGAACGTGTGTGTGTGTGTGTGTGTGTGTGTGTGTGAAGTATATATTTTTAAAAAGAATTTATTTTTAAATAGTTTTAGAATCGCAGAGAAGTTGCTAGATAGTACAGAGAGTTCCTGTCCACTCCTTTCCCAGTTTCTCCTAGTGTTAATATTTCATATTACTATGGTGCATTTTTATAACTAAACATACATTATTATTAACTCAACTTTATACTTTATTTAGACTTTCCTAATTATTCCCCAATGCCATTTTTTCTGTTTAAGGATCCGATCCAGCATTCCACAGGACATTTAGCTGTCAAATCTCCTTTGTTTCCTGTGTGACAGTTTCTCTGGCTTTCCTTGTTTTTGGTGACCTTGACAGTGTTGAGTACCGGACAGGTATTTTGTACACTATCCTTCGATTTGGACTTACCTGAAGCTTTTCTCATAATTAGACCAGGGTTATGTATTTTGAGGAGGAAGATCACAAAGGTGAGATGCCATTCTCATCTCACCATGTCAAGCGCACTTGTTATTGGCATGACATCACTAATAATGTTGACCTTGATCACCTAGCTGAGTTAGTGTTGCCAGGTTTCTCCACTGTAAAGTTACTCTTTCTCCTCTCTTCACTTTCCACACTCTAGTCCTTAGAAGCAAATCAATAAGCCAATACACTTAGTCTACAATCAATAAATAAGAGTTAAGATTCAAATCCTTAGAGGGAATATTTACATAGATAATTCAGAATTTTTCTGTAAAGGATATTTGGCACTTCTCCACCCATTTGTTTATTTATTCAATCACTTATTTGTATCAGGATCATTATCTGTTTTATTCATTGCTAAGTCCCTAAGCAATGTCTGCATGTAATGGTCTCTCAATTAATAAACCTTAAATGAATTAATGTAACCACAAGGTCAGAAGGAACCCAAATGCCCTCTGATAACATCAATATTAATTCAGCACAAAAATTCTAGTAGCTCTCTTTTTTTTAATCTATAAAAATGGGAAAGTAATACCTACTTTGTAGAATTGTTTTGGGACAGTGGCCAGTGCAAGCACAGCTCCTGGAACATACAGAGTGTTCTGGTAATCGTGATTATTCTTATCTCATAGTAATGTTTATTATCCAATTCAGAAGTTCAAGTCTGTGAGAAGCAAAAATTCTCAATGATTACTGTGGGCTACATATATAATATAGGTGATCTGCCTTTAAATTATGGAGTCTCAAACTATAAATTGGTGCATAATTTTCACTTGTAAAATAATTTCTTCGCTAATATAAAAATAAATTTAATATTTATAGCGTTCTATTGATTTACCTATTTACTTTCTCCACCTTGGTAAAATTTTGGTCATAGAGTTTTTTGTTCTCTTATAGTTTGCATTCTTTGGGGAATAAAATTGTTAATGGCTTTCCTTTGGTACTATAACAACCCTTTTTTCTTTATATAGAATGATACAGTTATATAGATTCCATAACAGGATTGTGAAGAAATCATGTTTACTGTATTTAAACACAAGAATTTTTTGGTACTAATTCTGGTTATGGTTGTGATTTTGCCATTAAGTAATGCTGAAGCTATCAGAGAACATTCGAGTTCCTTCTGACCCTATTAAGATTCATTAACTGAGCTATCACTACATGTGGGCATCACTTTAGTTGCTTAAGATTTAGTGGCGAATAAAACAGCTCATAATCCTGCATTTATGACAATGGAATTTTAAAAAGCATATATATATATATAATTTTATATATATATAAAATTTAAAAAAGCATATATATATATGTCTGTATGTATAAAATACTAAAAGTATATATGTGTGTGTGAGTGTGTGTATGTTGGTAGTAAGTGCTGTGGAGAAATGATAAGAGAGATATGAAATGTGGATGGAGGAAGCAAGCGTCATTTGCTCTTTCACATTGGAAGGACCTACTAACAGTGTGATACTTAAGAAAAGGCATAGGGGAAGTGAGGGAAGAAACCATCCTGATGTCTGAGAGAACATTCCAGACAGAGAAAATCGTAGATGCAAGCGCCCTGAGATGGGAGAATAATCCAAGTATTTAAGGAACAGCAAAGAAATGAATATATATTAGAGCAGACTTTCAGATAT